TGATGTTGGGGACCTGGGGGAAGAGGGTGGGGCAAGGGGTCCGGTCCCTGGGACTTGTGAATACGCAGGGGTTGAGGGGCTGAGACAGAGGGAAGAGCAGCCTGGCTTCCGCTCTTGATCTGCCCCTCACGCAACGGGCCTGAGACCACCACCCGGTGTTAAGCGCCTGGGCTCGCGGCGCGCGGTCACCCAGGGCGTCCGAGCCCGGGAGCTGGGGCGCCCGCCCGCCGCGCTGCTCCGCTGGGCCTCTGGCCAGGGCCGGGTCTCGAACTGGCGGTCGGCTGACTTACCCAAAAGTTTCCCTTGAACAGTGAGCCCGTCATCCCGGCTGGAGTCGATGGGCTGGGAAGAGAGTTGGGACAGCAGACGTGACCACGACAGGAGGCCTGACAGTCACCGCCCGCGCTCCGGCAGCCTCAACTTTTGAGTTCCACAATCCTGCAGGAGAGCCGCCCCGGGTCCTAAACCACCCCCGATTCTGCGAGGACCTGGCGAAGGGACAGCAGCCCACACACGGACGCAGGACACTCAAAGCCCCACGGCGTCAGGCCACGATCAATGAGTCAGCTCAAAATTCACGCCACCTCCTTCAGGAAGCCTTTGAGTGTTGGAAACAACTAGTACTGTCTCCTTCCCAAATTCGGCTCCTCTTCCCTCTCCCGACCCCGCCCCCCACCCCGGAGCGAATCCCGGGCGGAGGAAAGCAGCTCTGCAGAACTGTGGGAGGAGCCGGGGTCCCCGCCTGGGCAGAGGGCAGTGGGGGGACCAGAGTAAGCTCTGTAAAGCCTGGGGAGCCACCGCGCACCGGCGCGTTCACGGCCGCGTGGCCCGCTGCAGATCAGGCCCTGGGGAACATTTAGTCAAAGTGTCACGTGCAGCCTGAACAAGAGCTCGACCCGGTCTCTAAAAATAGCCGGTCTTTGAGGCTGGCGCTGCCCAGCTACTCGCGAGGCTGAGGCAAGAGAATCGCTTGAGCCCAAGAGTTTGAGATTGATGTGAGCTGTGACTCCACGGCACTCTGCCCAGGGCGACAGAGTTAAACTTGGTCTCAAATAATAAATATCACGGAAAGGTCACTGCTGCTGTTTGCCCTTAGTTCCAGGTCCCTTAGCAGGGTCCTTACT